TCCGGGCTGGGGATTCGAACCCACCACCTTAGGTGTACATGGCTGGTGCCTCAGTCAGTTGAGCTATAGGCGCCAAGCCTATAACAGCAATTCTTAACCTGTGGGTTACGACCCACAGGAACTGTATTAAAGGGTTGTGGCATTAGGAAGGTTGAGAAGCAGTGCTCTATAAGTTGACCACCCAAAGGACTATAACAAACTAGTCAATTGCTTCTCAGCCTTTTGGCTAAGAGCAAGTGTATAACACATTAGTCAACATATGGACGTGGTCAACACAAGGAACTAGGCCTACTGTACTGATGTGTACACATGGTGCATGTCTGGTCTTTGAAAATTAGGTCAACTTAAGGAGGTGGTCAGCTATGAAGGTTCTACTGTAATATCATAAAATTGATGCTATCAACCTAAAATTCCATACCCAGCCATTGTGGATATTTATTGTTTCGGCTACCTAGCTCTCAGGAATGCTTCTCACTCAAGGGGATTCCTAGATAGGTGGGAATCAGCCCCAATTCCCATGACAGATTGTTCCCCTCTTCCCCACCAGCAGCTGCAGTAGAGGCTCATGACTGCATCAAAGCCAATCATACTCCCCACCCCACCCTATATAACTTGAGTAAACAACTAAGAGGGGAAATAAAGAACAGGCGGCAGCCTGGGTCCCGGGTGATAACCCCAGGCATGGTATCCAAAGCACATTGTCACCATGACCAGATCTGAACTGGGCCTTGAGTCCCTGAGGTTGGGTCTCTGCCTTTTTGTTGACTGGATGAATTCACTGCTATCCTTAAATGATTGTTCTTTTTACGTTAATTAGAGTCTTCTACTGTACGCAATAAAGAGCCCTGTGATGGTTAATTTGGTGTGTCACCCCCACTGGAATAACAGTCTATGAGGGTGTTTCTAGAGGAAATTAGCATTTGAATAAGTAGACTGAGCAAAGAAGATCCACCCTCACCAATGGGGGTGGATATCATCCAATCTGTTGAGGGCCTGAATAGAACAAAAAGGCAGAGGAAGAATGAATTCTTTCTTTCATTAGCTGAGTCATCCATCTTGTGCTCTGGGACATCAGAGCTCCTGGTTCTCAGACCTTTGGCCTCAGATTGGGACTTAAGCCATCAGCTCTCCTGATTCTTAAGCCTTCTGACCCAGCCTAAATCACACCACCAACTTTCTTGAGTCTCCAACTTGCAGATGGGAGATTGTGGAACTTCTTGGCTTCCATAATTGCAGGAACCAATTCCAATGATAAATGTCCTCATGTCTGTATATATAGGTATGTATATGTCTGTATATATAGGTATATATATGTACATATGTGTGTACGTGTGTGTATATATTCTCCTATTGTTCTATTTCTCTTGAAAACTTTAATACAAGCCCTGAGTAGCCAAATTATCACTCAATAGTTAGGGGGTAGGAGATATGGCACTGCCAGGCCGTCCCCGCACTCTTTCTTCCCCCGCTAGCTGGGTTCACGTGGCTCCACTTTCTGAAAATGCCAAGGTCCTGGTTCCTTACACTCTAAAAGGTATCTCTCTCAGGTTCAATGATAAATTACATACTTCCCCTGATTATGGCCTTACTATAGACTTAGAACCTCATTCTGCTGTGTTCTTTCAAGGTAGACTTACTTGAAAATACCTCCTCTGTGCTGAGGATCGAAATCTCCCTGAAGTCAAGCTTGACATCCTTTGTTATATAAAAGCAGAGATTCATACAAAGAACTTTCCTCTCCAGCTCAGGCAGACATGGAAAAGATGTGTGTGTGTGTGTGTGTGTGTGTGTGTGTGTATGGTCTTGTCCCCTCTAATTCCTGGCTCCAAGCTGCAAAACCCCTTGGAATTTGCTGAGTAATAGGAATAGGAGTGTCCTTGTAAAACTAATGAGGCTCCTAGCTCATGGTGGGTCCCTAGATAGCTTCAGGATAGGGGCTGGTCCCCAGACAAGCCAAGCACAAGATTAAAGGGTTGGAACTTTGGGTTAGTCTGACCTCTGGGAAAAAGAGACAGACTGGAGGAGACTGATACGGCCAATGGTTTGATCAATCAAGCCCCACTAAAAACTCTGGACAGTGAGGCTCAGTGAAGCTTTCAGGGTGGTGACTGTATTGACATTCTGAGAGGATGCCACACCTGAAGTAGGTGTGGAAGCTGTGAGTCCCAACCCCCACTCCCCTGACTGCCCTAAGAAGCTCTTCATTTAGCTGGCCCTGAGTCATATCCTTTAAAATAAAACTCTGATCATAAGTACAGCACTTTCCTGAGTTCTGAGAGTTGTTCTAGCAAATTGTCAAACATGAAGTGGGGGGTGGGTGAATTTAAAACACCCCAATTTATAGGAAAGTCAGACAGAAATGTGGGTGACCTGGGGACCTCACTTGTTCCTGGTGTTTGAAATGAGGGCACTCTCTCTGGGGACCTTGCTCTCCCAGTGGCCCCTGTCAGAATTGAATCACAGGACACCCAGTCAATGCTGAAGAACTATCCTCAGAGCACAGGCAGGGACAACCTCTCTCTGTTTGTGTTTTCAGTTTCTTTTTCTGCTGGTCAGAACCAAGATGACACGGTCAAAGGGGTCCACTTCTAACTCCAGTTCTAGTTTTCTGTGAACCTGCTGTTGAGTCTCAGGGCTCAACAAAGAGAACTTTCTCTGTAAGAACAGCTATTTCTTTTAGAGCTAGACACTGACATTTTTGTTGTTAAGCAAGGATCAGGGCCAGAGAGAGGAAAGGGAAGAATTCAACTCCCCTGTTTTTCTTCCTACAGATACTCTCAGGCCACATTTAAGTTTCCTCATAATTCCATGTTAAGTGCTGGCAAAGAATGTACAAATATTTGTGAGGGTTGATGTGCCTAGGAATACTTGTGCCTGCTGCTCAGGGGATCGGTATCTGAAGGTTCTGCATGAAGCTACACTGACTTTTTTTTTTTTTAACAGATCAAGTGATTGCAGAAAAACATTCCCCTCACCCCTACCGTACTTGATATTTGTTTAGATGAATGGTCGAAAGATGGCCAGTAAAAGCATATGCAGTTTAAAATTTCACATGGACATACCCACTTCAGTGGGATGAAGAAAGGTAATGCAGCTTTGTCTAAATGCTGCACTCTGGACCAGAGGCTCGCACACAGGTGATGCTATTACCACTTCCAGACACAGAGCTCAGGGAGCCCTCGGCAGCCCCAGGGTACAGCTGCCAGTCCAAGGCAGGGTAGAGGAAGAAGGTAAAGAGCTGCAGAGAAGCAAAAACCCCTTAAGAGCCCAAAGAGGCAGGGCGTGGTGGTTCACACCTACAATCCCAGCACTTTGGGAGGCCAAGGCAGGTGATTGCCTGAGCTCAGGAGTTCAAGACCAGCTTAAGCAAGAGTG